TTTTTTTTTTTTTGATTATAAAGATGGAATTTTTTTCAATTATTTATAATTTATTCATTTTCATTCCAAGAATTTTCTTATAGAAAGATTCCAAATAATAACTTCTTCATAGAATCAATCATGCTACATATCGACATTGGCTGAATTTTCAGACCTTCTTAATGGAAGGCCGAAGGCAAAAAAAAAATTTTTTAACAATCATTTTCTTTTTAGGATGATTCTCCGAATTACGTAACACTTTTATTAGCTAATTGCATCATACTCAATTTTTGTGAATTTTGTGACTTGAAACGACGTTCCGTAACACGAAAGAATATTCTTAAAAATTCCAATTCTCTGATGTTCCATGGTTAAAATATTATGTGCATCCGTTTTCACGACTTTATTTATAATACAATATAATATAAAAATAATTAATAATGTAACGAAAAAAATGCCGTTCATACTGAAAAGTATAACATCTTTAATTAATTTCATGCATAAAATTCCGATTTTGCATTAATTTTCTCAACTAACTAATTAAGGTTAAAGAATTTCCTGTATGAAATTATGTCATATAATTTATTATGTTACACATGACGCCTATTGACAATGATGGACAGAGTTACAGAATTCTAAGAATTCTATAGAATCGGTTTTTCTGCGTCATAAAAATAAAAATAAAAAGAATTCTATAGAATCGTTTCATTACTACGCTGAATAGGTTATTTGCCAGAACAAAGCGGAGTGTAAATTTCAATATTTAGCACTTTCAACCATTCCTTTTTGAATGCGTAAAATTTTCGGCGTTGTATATTTTGCGAATTTTTTTTTTCTGGATATTCAACAAAAAAGAAAAAATTTGTCACATGAAAAAATGACACATGATCGGATTTATTGACGTTAATTATTATTTTATCTTATTACTTTCTCTTAGGAAGGTTAATATTAAAAACGTAAACATTTTTCCTTTTATTATTCTTAGGAATGTTTCTAGAGATGACTCAAACAGTAAGGTGTAAGTTTTAGAGTTTAACCGTCTATATCACTGGTAGCTGAAGTTTAAAAAATGTTAATAATTTTCTTTTCAATCCCTGTTCTGTTTATCTTTTTCTAAATGAGGTCCTCCGATCACTTCGACAGAATTAAGCCTTTTGTCTAAATATATATAAAATATAATTTCATGGAATTTTAATGTAAAATATCTTACATATTTCTTTTTCTTTCAATTATTTCATGAATTTACATCTTTTGTTGCAACAGAAACATAATCAAATTTATTTTTTCCGCCTCGAAAAGTAATTTTAAATTTTTTTTTAAAAAAAAATAATCAAAATATTCTTTAAATCTACAGTACTTCTTCATCTTAAATCTAATGAATTATCATGTTCTAGTAAATATAAAAAAAACCAAGAATTTTGCTACTTCAATCTAAATAAAAAGAGAAAATCATACTGATATTTTTTTATCCTGAATAGATAATAAAAATACTAAGAAAGTAAAATTCAACTTAGAAAATCTGATAAATAAAATATCTAAAAAAAATTTTATTTTGATGTAAAAAAACAAACAAAATCAATTTTTTTTCGGATTGAAAAAAAAATGAAGAATAAAACAGGGTTTGAAAAAAATCGAAAAAAAAAGTTTAAAAATTTTGAGGTCCATAAGAACCGGAAAAAAAATAGTATTTTTAAAAAAATAAATAAATTTCCCGGAAGAACAAAAAAAAAGGTTATCTAAAAAAATAAAATTCCTAGTTTATGAGAAAGTACTTAATTTCCCGGTTTATAAAACTGAAAAAAAAATGTTAGCGTTAAAAAAAAAATAAAAGTAAAAAACAAAGTCCGTTATACTTACTACCTGCTTTGACGAGGGAATGAAATGACAAATTCGTTAATCAAAATTTATATGGAGATTATTCTAAACGTCAGATAAATTTTTTTAGTTATATAGCGAAATGTTTATACGTACAGAAAAATTAAAAATATAATAATCAAATAAATGTTATTTACCACTTTATATTTATAATCATCGTGACCCAATAAAAGGTTAATATTAAATAGTTATTCAGCACAAAAGTGATAGCGTTAGTTTATATTTATACTGATTGAGTAATTTATCCTATATAAATATAAACTATTATTTAATCTTTTCCTTAACTGTTAATATTTCATTGTTTTTTTTTCTCTTTAATATTTAATACATTTTAATGATGAGCTATTAATAAAGCAGGAAATTATATATATCCTATTGTTTATATTAAACGTATATTATTCATTATTCAATAATTCTTGGCTTCTTTTTAGATCTACAGAAGTTGAACTTGTAATATTATAACATACTGAATGTAATTAAATGTAATAAAAAAAAATTGGTTAACTTTATAAATGGTCGGCAAATAATGATAATTTGGAAGCAGTAAGTAACAGTAACCCAATTGTCATACATAAACATTGGACTTTATTTATTGTCACTATTTCATTTTATTTTTTTAAAAATGGATTCTATTACTATTAAGTCTACTTATTACGAAGATGATAACTTCCATAAGTGTCAAATCCCTATGTATCTATAACAAGGTATCCGAAGAGATAATTATCTAATATTATTTTCAAAATATACAGTAGTATTACTTTATAGAATCCTGATTGCTGTGGATAAAAAAATATCAGTTTGCCGTTTAATCAAATAAAGTATTTAAGCATTCGAGCGTCATTTTATTTTTATTTTCATTCTTTACATAATGAATTTTTTTTATTAAGAATTAATATTTTACATTTAATACAAAAAAGTTTTTTAAGATGAATAATAAAGACTTTGATACACAATTACACATATAATATTACATACAGTATGTGATTTTACTCAAGTTTATAAAGAAACCAACAATATATTATTTTTGCATTCGTATAGAGATTCATCTAGAGAAAATCCCATAAAGTTTGTAACACCAAATATCGTAACGAGTTTTTATAGAATTCGAATTAAGATACCATGTTAATACAAAAAACCTTATAATATACTATCATTTATGAAAAAGGGTTAATAGTTAAAGTTCATTTTAATTCTTTAATTTAAAAATTTGATACTTACATTTTAGGAAATTCGTGACGCGACTTGATAAATGAAAATGACCACGTACCATAAGTTTCAAACTAATAGACGCTCTGCTGGTGACATTTGGTAAAATTTATCTTTATTTATTCTACTTATTCTTCAAGAAACAAAATAAAATAAAGTTATTCTAAAATAAAATTTATTAAGTAATTTAATATCATTGTGCACAATTATTAGAAGTAGTTATTCATTCTGAACTTTATTTTGAATTCGTGCTCAATGAAACTATATATTTTGAATTTTATCATCCATCCCTAAATATACTGTATTTTAATATGCGACAAAAAGAACAAAAAACAAATATTATTGAGAAATAAAAAAATAATAATCTTTTTTTAACAAAACATGCGTAAAGTATTACTTATACGTTGTATGTTCGGTAAAATACATTTTATTTTTTTAAAAAAAAATAAATACATTTTTAACTAGAAAAATAAGAATAAAATAATCTTGGTAGAATTCTAGGCTATGAAATGAAAAATTTCTTATTTTTTAGGGTTATTTTAATTGCATCTGAATTTTAATTCTTTTTGAGGAAGAAGAGCTGACACCGCTGCTTAAATAATGAATTCGTACTACATACAAAGAATTTATACAATCGTCTTGATCCTATAATATAATTTATAGCTATGGTCTATATTCTTTTTTTTTTAGAAAAAAACTAGGAAAGTAGTCCATAAATGAAATCTCTTATATTAGCCATGAATTAATCATCCAAAAAATTTCTTTAGCTGTTCAAATGTGGATTTAATGTGAATTTGATTTATTATATTCAAATAACATTTGAAGGCAAATCAAATATTGTGTCAGTGCCTACAAAACATTATTATCAAATATAATGTGGTTTTGAGGTCTTTGTGATGCCCCTCGGGTTATCAATTCACAATATATTGAATACAATCTTGACATAAGATTATGAAATGTAAGATCACAAAGATTTACAGAACATAAGTTTGTGTAAAGTTATACATCATAGTCTTATAAATATAGGTTCAGTTTGTGCAAACCTACAAGGTGTAAGCTGGCATAAGTTTGCATAAGTTTGCATTGAGAGTATGAATTTAGTGTAAGTTTATACCTAAAAATTTCCTGATTAGTACAGTAATAAACTTTCTTGTTAAAAAATGGATTTGGCATTATCAAGTCTAACATCTTTTCTTAGATAAGAAAATTTTTTTTGAAATATCAGGTAAAGTCCTAAAAAATAATTTATTCCTATAATTTTTCCATAACACATATGAACAGCGAGTCTCAAGTATTAGAAAATGCACTAGCACTAGTATTGTGAATAGAAAATGCAGAGTGAAAAAAAAATATAGTACTAGTACATTGCATCTAAAGAAAATATTCAAAAATTGTGCTATCTATGAATTTCAGAATGAATTGCTACACATTTGTTATGAAGAGTATATATATATTTCAATTGTAGATTATTAAAGTAGATTTACCTCTTCCTTTTAATATTTTTCTTGCTTAGGACTGATATATATCATGATCTAAATTTTTATAACTAGGAAATAACACAATTTGATGATTATACTTACAATATTGTACAATATATCTAGAAGCCTTTTGATAGAAGCTATAAAATTAAATTTCTATTAGAGAATATTATTTCAATTAATTTATTTTTTATTTACTAATGTAGGCAATATATGCATATATGCATACTTATAGTTTATGTTGATATTAAATATTAGGTTTGTCCCTAAACTCAGTTTACGTGAAGTGCATTATATTAAAGACTTAAATTCTAAAATTCTTTTTACCTTTTTAATATTTTATTCGTCATTAAGTGGTAATTAAAAAATTGTATCCTTAAACATACATCATTTGCAATTTTCATGTTATTTTTATTCAAATATTTTAATGTAAAGTTTTACAAATTAACAAATAAGTAAGTTGAATCTATCAATAAATTCATATATTTAGTTTATATGAAGAATTATTTCATTAATATCAATGTAATATAAATTCTAGTATTTGTTTTGTTTATTATATATCAAAGAAAATATTATATTTAATACATCCAATTACAAACTGTTTATACAGTGTTGGATAAAACTATATAATAATTACAAATTCCTATAAAATAACAGCTATACAAATATAATTCAAGTGAAAAATTTCATATTTTTTTCAAACAAAATCTAATTAACTTGGATTCCATTTGGATTTATATTACTTCATCTAAACATTGAGAATTATCACCATATGTTGGAAGATCATCTGTAAAAGAATTAAGTAATCGAGATGTGTAAATAGCTTGTGGATGTGTAGTTATTTGGTAATTTTTAATAAATGAAAGATTTGCTTTTCTATATTCTTCTGCTTTTTTAAATTGCATTCCAATTTCTTCAATTTCCACCATGAAAAAATCCCCTCTATATGACCTATGAAATGACATGATTAATTCATTCACTTTAAAAGTATTTGGTCTATCACTTGGGTTTAAATCCCAACACTTATTCATTAAATCAATATAACATCTTGGTGCTTCTGATTCATTTATTTCAGGTTTAACTCCTTTACAAATATCTAATGCAAGAATATGATCATGTGCACGATTGTAAAATGGTTGCCTTCCAGTTGCTACAAAATACATTATCATACCAAAACTATAGATATCTGATTCTTGGGTATAAGATCTCCTTCTTAATACTTCAGGAGCCACATAAGGCATAACTCCATAAATTTTAGTTTCATCTATATAGCCAACCTCTCCACATAATCCCATATCTGAAATTGATATAAATTTTTTAAAATTATATACCCTATTTAAAAATAATATATTTCCTGTATGAAAATCACGATGAACTATACTTTTTTGATGAATTTCTTTAAGACCATTAATAATATTAAGCAATGCAGATAATTTATCTTTCCAATTAAAATTTTCATAGTTTTCATTTATCCAATCATTAAAATTGCCTTCTTTTGCATAATGGAGAACCATAATATATTCATTTGTATCTGGATTTTGGGATATTCCATATATATTAAGAATACTACTTCTTTTCTTTATTGAGTATTTTTTAACCTATAAAATATAAATAACAAAAAATAATTATTTTATTATGTTTAAATTAAATTCACAAAGAATTTTCTATTATAAATAATTTTTAACAATATTCATACCTCGTTTAAAAATTTATTACTAAGATTTTGTGAACTATGTAAACATTTTAAGGCAATCACTCTATTTGGATTTCTTTTAAATATTTTTTTATCTTCATCATATTCCAATGTACCATTTTTCCAATTTGCAGAATATACTGTAGCAAAGCCACCTTCACCTATTTTCTTAATATTATTAAACTGATCATATGTACGGTGTACCGTTTGGATGAAAAGTGCCAAAATTTTGAAAATTTGATTTTTCAAATTTTTGAATTTTCAAAATCTCCTTATAAGGAAAATCTCCTTTTATGGCAATGTTACATTACACAAATATCCAAATAAGGAGGTCGTCTAAAGCGGAGCAGAGTCACGTGACTTAACCAATTATTACAAGCCACAAGCCACGATGTCAAAAAAATTTTTTTTAAAAAAAAACCATAAAAATTTCGCAAAAAAATCATGAAATTTTCATGAAAAATAATGAAAAAGCAAATTTTTCTTTAGAAAAACCATTGAAAATTTCAAAAAATACCATGAAAAAAACGAAAAAACCCAAATTTCAAAAAAATAAACAACCAAATTTTCACGAATATTTTATTATAATTATTTAAATTGTATGATAATAGGATTTAAAGAGGCTTCTAATGTAGAAATAAAAGCCTCTGTTCTCTCAGCATTACCCCTCTTCAACACTCCAGTATCTATCGCGGACTCTTTCAGTCAATTCGAACACAGTAAGTTTCCGACTTTTGGCTTTTTTTTGTTGTTCTGTTTGTATAAACTTTATCACTAATTCACGATGTCATATACTTCAAACCCGCTCTTCTCAAATATTTTCTGAAACATTCTCCATACATCAGTAGTTAATAATTTCACATCTCCATACATATGTTCGTGAAAAATATGTTTGCACAGTAACAAGTATCAATTGCGAAACAAACAGTAACAATCAAGTGAAGTCAAACCCGGTGCACCTTTACCTTTCTCCAATCTATCCATTATGGCACAGGCCTCTTTAATAAGTAGATGTTGAAATGGTAAGGGGAATTTGTGAATCTCCTCGATAATATCCTTTTCTACATTATAAGCTGATACTTTTTTGACACGAAAGTCAAAGGCGGCACTTTTGGAATCAGATTGTTTTTACAATCAATGGCAACAATATTATGGACAGCATCTAAGATGAATGAATAAACAAAAAGTGAGTGTCTGAGTGAATTAATAAGAGTAAATCGGCAAACGTTACATAGAAAATTTGTGTTAGTATGTAATTACTAATTACCTTTAGTATGGAAAAAAAGAAAAAAAATTGCAAATTTTATAGATTCAAGCATCAAAATAAGAGGCAAAAGGGTGGAAAAAACAACAAAAAAGTAGAATTTTACCAATTAAACCATGCCATCAGCAAGTTTGAAAAGCGTTGATTCACACCAGTATACGCGTTGATCAACACCAGCTAGTTGTTCAACGCGATTAACAATATTAATCAACACCCGTATACTGGAGTATATCAACGCATAATGTTAATATACGCGTTGTTCAACTCTAATGTGTAGTTCAACGCCATATATTAACACAATTATATATATATTTTAATTAAATTATATTATTTATTTTTACTCACCTTAGGAACCGAACCGAATACATCAACATAATACTATTAGTTATCTCACAATCTAACCACTGTACTATTTAATTTAAATATATATATATACATATTAAAATTAATATCTAAAAAACATTTATTTCGGAATACTTTATATCACGTGTATCACATGATATTGGATTTAATAATTACTGCTGCGGCTGCGGTATGGCAAAAAAAATAATTAAGCTTTTTTTGGCAAAGCTTAATTTTTTTTTTTTTGCCCCCTTCCCTTTCGTTTTCTATTGCCCTTTCGTTCTCCCCTTCCCTTTCATTTTNAACACCCGTATACTGGAGTATATCAACGCATAATGTTAATATACGCGTTGTTCAACTCTAATGTGTAGTTCAACGCCATATATTAACACGATTATATATATATATATTTTAATTAAATTATATTATTTATTTTTACTCACCTTAGGAACCGAACCGAATACATCAACATAATACTATTAGTTATCTCACAATCTAACCACTGTACTATTTAATTTAAATATATATATATACATATTAAAATTAATATCTAAAAAACATTTATTTCGGAATACTTTATATCACGTGTATCACGTGATATTGGATTTAATAATTACCGCTGCGGCTGCGGTATGGCAAAAAAAATAATTAAGCTTTTTTTGGCAAAGCTTAATTTTTTTTTTGCTTCGTTTCTCCCCTTCCCTTTCGTTTTCCATTGCCCTTTCGTTCTCCCCTTCCCTTTCATTTTTTTTTTTAATCGGAACGTTGGCTAACATTCTGATTATTTTTTTTATTACATTTTTTAACGAAACGTTGAAAAACATTTCGTAAATAACTTTTTTTTTCTTTTTTTTTAATCGGAACATTGGCTAACGTTCCGATTTACATTTTTTTTCTTGTTTTAACGAAACGTTTTTAACGTTTCGTTAATAACATTTTTTTTTTCATTCCTTTTAATCGGAACGTTGGCTAACGTTCCGATTTTTTTATTTTTTCTTCTTTTAACGAAACGTTTTTTAACGTTTCGTAATATTTTTTTTTTTAATTTTTTAATCGGAACGTTTTTTAACGTTCTGAAATAATTTTTTTTTAATTTTTTTAATCGGAACGTTGGCTAACGTTCTGATTTTTTCATTTTTTAACGAAATGTTAAAAAACGTTTCGAATTTTTTTTTTTAATTGTTTGTTTTTTAACGAAACGTACCTAACGTTTCGATTTTTTATTTTTTTTTAGGACCGCGGCTTTCTGGATGGCTCACGGACAGGAATTTTGAAGGTAAACCTTCAAAATTTTTTTAATTGTTTGTCTTTAACGAAATGTGTCTAACGTTTCAATTTTTTGTTTTTTTTAGGACCGCGGCTTTCGGATGGCTCACGGACGGGAATTTTGAAGGTAAACCTTCAAAATTTTTAATTTTTGTTTTTAACGAAACGTATCTAATGTTTCATTTTTTTATTTTTTTAAGACCGCTTCCTGGATGATTCACGGACAGGTAAAATTATTTTTTTTTTAATTTATTTTAACGAAACGTGATTAACGTTTCATTTTTCTTTCTTTTTTAGGTCTGTGGATTTCTTTTTCTAAACGGGATTTTGAAGAACTTTAATGTTATGGTAAGTTTCGCAACGTTTCGTTGCGAAACTTCATTTATTTTTTAATTTTTTTTTTAGAAACGTTTACTAACGTTTCTTTAAATTCTTTTTGTAGGTCTTTTTTTTGGGAAACAGGAAAAAGGGTAAGTTTCAAAGCGTAATTTTACGCTTCGAAACTTTAAAAAAAAATTTTTTTTTTTAGTTTTTTATAAGGAAACGTTTCTAACGTTTCCTTTATTTTTTTTGTAGGTTTTTTTGGAAAATGGAGGAAAGGGTAAGTTTCGAAGCATTTTGCTTCGAAACTTTTTAAAAAATTTTTTTTTTTAATTTCTTTTATAAGGAAACGTTTCTAACGTTTCCTATATTTTCTTTGTGTAGGACCTTCGGCGTGTTCAAACTTCGGATCTTGGATATTGTAAGTTTCGAAGGGTTTCCCTTGAAATTTTAATGTTTTTAATTTTTTATTAGGAAACACGTTTACTAAATATTTCCTTTATCCTTTTGTAGGATCGGAAAGTTTGGAACGGAAGAATGATTGTGTAAGTTTTGTAATGTTTCATTACGAAACTTAATTTTTTTTATTAGGAAACTCTTACTAATGTTTCCTTTATTCTTTTTTTAGGTTTCAGGAAACAATGTTAGAAAAGGGTCTTTAAATGGTAAGTTTCGTAAGAAACTTCCATTTTTTTTTTGTCTTTTTTTCTTTAAGATACATTCTAACCGAACGTTTCTCTTATTTTTTGTAGGTTCGGCCAACCTCCGGGACTTGGAATTTTGGAAAACGGTAAGTTTCGTACATTTCGTTACGAAACTTCCGTTTTGTTTTATTCTTTAGTAAGAAACATTTTAACTGAACGTTTCTCCTTTTTTTGTAGGTTTGGTTTCTGGGAATATGGAAATTCAAATAATGTAGGTTTCGTAACATTTTTTTGGTACAAAACCCATTTTTTTTATTTTTTTTAATTAGGAAATGTTTACTGACATTTCCATTTTCTTTTTTTTATTAGGCCTCGGATTTTGAATTGCGGATGGTAATGGGTAAGTTTCGCAACGAAACGTTACGAAACTTTATTTTATAATTTTTTTTTTAAGAAACGTTGACTAACGTTTCTTTTCTTATTTTTGTAGGTCTACGGATTTTCTGGTAGACAAAATGGTAAGTTGACTTTTTTTAAGAAACGTTTGTTAACGATTCCTTTTTTTTTTTGTAGGCTTTTTGAAATATGAATCAGATCATGTAAGTTTCGTTAACGAAACTTTTAATATTGTATTTTTTTTAATCGAAACCCCACCTTGTTATGGTTATGTCACCAGGGGCGCTATGTCAACAGAAATTTAGTACGTTGATCGCTTAAAAATCCGTGGCAATCCAATTATAACAAGAGTTTTAAACATTTGACAATTTACATTACTGAGAAATATCAATTTGTAGTGTAGTTGGATAGATAATGAATGTATTTGTATTGTACTATTACTACTATATATATAAATAAATTTACAATATTTTACAATTAATAAAATTTATATGTTGCTATACGTGTTTTTAATATCGATATACGCGTTTTTATACAATGTATACACGTTTTTAAACTATCGTTGTTTTACTATGTGTAGTTTTACACTTAAATGAGTGTTTATTTACGCGTTTTTCAACGTTTTTAAGTGGTGTTGATTGACAAGTAGTTCGTTTCCCTACGTTTTTTGGTGTTGAGCAACACATGGCGTTTTTCAACACTTTATACGCCTGTTTAAAACTTGCTGATGTGTAAGGACGATGTTTTCCTTTTCAATTCACTGTGGTAAGATTCTAACAGATTTGTGGAGGTGACTTGCAAAAGCAAAGGGGAATGTTAGCACGCCCACAATGCCCATTGTTGTGTATTTTTCATGTAATTCCTTCTAATATAATTCTGAATAGTAGGAACAGGACAGTTGTTAATAGCTTCTTGGATCAGTTTTTCGCAACCGATCTTTGTCCTTTTATGCATTGCTGCAATCATAACATCACGGGGTTTTTTTTCATGAATTTTTGACATCCACGTCCGCATAATATGTACAACACAAAGTAATACTTCGCACTCTTGCTCACCGGTGTTTACACCAGAAAAAACAATTTTAACACTTTTAAACTCAACACTACTTTGATCAGATAGGATGTAGCAGAAAGTCCAATGGCAATAGCTGCGAATTTTTTTTAAAGCTTCTGCAACAGTGTCACTATCCTCACTGCTCACAAAAAAGTGTGCACCTATATTTTAGCATCCATAAGTGTTGCGAACATACAGTGTAAATAGACGCCAATCATATCTATTTGTTTTATGGGTGGAATCAATTAGAGTCAACCATCCATGATTCTCAAGTTTCTCAAGTTGCTTAGGATGTGCAAAAACAATGCCCTTAGTAGATCGTTGGTGGACACGATAAATTTCAACTTGATATCCTTGCTCTTTTAAATACGATACTGATTGTGAAATATCTAACTTTAAATCAGAATTGCCAACGAGATGAACTTCCATAGGTCCACGAACTTTATACTTAATGTTCGTTACTTCCTTGTGCTTTAATTCTTGTGCACTTGCACCAAGACCTAATTCAATCGTTGCATATTCTTTAACGGCAGCAGTAATTGCTGGAGGCAAATAATTTTGACTGCTTTTTTTTCAACTAAAGTTCGAATAACTTGAGGACGTTTAAGCCTATCGACATCTAACAATAAGTGTGTATGGTTGGAAGAGTCTTTATAACGTTCAACTTTAACTATTTTCAACGAGACTAACCATTCAACTTTAATTTTAGCATGTCATAATCCAGATGGTCTTGTTTTCATTATTTGGCGTTTTTCATTAGAAATATTTTCTTTTTGTCATGTACTAGAGTCTCGATACTTTGTAAAACGGCAGGTAAAAATCTTCCAAAAGTTTCCATTTACTTGTTTATATGAAGTCCATTGTGTCCATATATTTGAAACTAATGGCCACCAATTTTCATCAAAATCCTCCATTTGAACTTCCAAAAAGCAATTTACATCAAAAAGGAGATTCCACTTTTCTTCTGAAGTGATATTTGTCATTTGCACGGCAACCAAAGTGGTAGCGGAAGTATTAACCGAAGAGACAGACATGATAACAAAAAAGACAGAAAAAATGTTTAATTTAACTATTAATTTATAAGTTTAATATTAGTAAAAAGAAAAAGGACTAAATAAAAAAAACTTACAAAAAAAACAAAAAAAAAAATATTTACAATATTTTTTTGAAATACGTGAACTTAATATGAAAATAGTACGATGCTATTCATAAAACGAACAAAAGGAAAGGTTTACATGATTTGTAAATCCTAAGGCTTGAAAGAAAGAAAGAGCCTGACAAAAAAATTTTTTTTAAAAAAAATAAATAAATAAACAGCCATGTATAAAGTGCAAGAAGGAAACTGAGACGGCTAGTGAAATACAAGATATGACTACAAATGGGCGTTACCGGCTGCATGGTGACTGCACAATTTGTGGTATGCATAAGAATACTTTTACTGGAATAGACTGGGTGATCAAGAAGAAGACTAAGGAGAAAAAGAAAGAAACCGCTGCTAAGAGACATCAGATGGCTTACAATCGGCAATGCAAAAAACTCGGACAGAAAATTTTAGATGCTGATGACACTTGCAAGCAGTGTATTGATAAATGTCTTAAAGAGGCAAAAAAGAGGAAGACGGATTAGTACTGCCTTCTAAAAGTATTCTTTATCATCTGAATCGTCTTGGTATACCCATTGTTCAATTACTTATTTTTTCTGACGGGAGCTGGACGGGGTTAGTCTTACTGGCTCTATAGACCTTCTAGGGGCTTACCTGCTAACCTACCTGTTAATTTACTGGGTTTGCTGTCTCACTGCTTCTGACAGATGAATAGACTGAATCCTGATCATATGACAGATTTATGACAGAATGACAGATCTGGAGGGTAAAATCAAAACTTTTTTCTGGGGATTATCCTCTCCCGATATTTCTGAAACATCTGTCATATCTGTCATATCTGTCATACCCCTCTGATTCTCTCTTATTTTCCTCTCTTTTCCCTTATTTTATCATTTTTTAGTATATTATTACCGTATAATCCTGAAATTAAGCATCCTTTTTTTACTATAGGGGTGCTTAATTTCAGGTGATTTTTTTCTCTTTAAAAATTTTCGAAAATTGCATCGCAAAATTGAGATTTAGACTGCTANACCCTAAGTGGGCGGACCAATCAAAAGTTTTTCCGCTTCTGTCACGTGCTCTAACCCTAAGTTTAGCCAATCAAAAGTTTATCCGTACGATCACATGATCAAACATAAGGATATAAATTTGGCCAAAAGCGCAGTATTTGCTAACCCTAACCAGCCCAAAAAAATTGTGGCGCAGTATGGGGTTGTGTTACATAAAAGGCCAGTCATGTGACTTTTTGCACATGACTGGCTGTTTTACATTTGGTTACTCAAATCACGTAATAATTGTCAAATGATCTCTCCCACCTGGAGTGGAACAGTCAGTTAAAGTTGACACAAACGATCTGCATGGCGCATTTTCACGTGATTTCGGATAAATATTACACCGGTTTCAGATAAATATTTAGCCGTTATAAATTTGGATTTGCCGAGATTCCGGTTGATCCAGCCATTTTCACTTTTTGTATTAATTATTTAAAATTAAGTGAAACCGCGTGTCATGCTACAAGCGACACCAAGTTTCATTCTACAATGAAGTTTAAGGGGTTACAGTTTCAAAGTATTTTTAATACTTCCAAGTTAAGTTAATAGTTTCCATATGAAACTTTCCTTAACGTAATGTTCGGCGTTTACTCCTTTGATAGGTTTAGACTCAGCTTTGCGTTCCATAATGTTTCAGAAGTTTAATTAACTTTTGCATGTGTATTTCTTGATACAATGAATGGCATGCCACCTTTAGAAATCATACGATTTTTGGTGCTTGGCAATAAAGTCCACATGTATGGACTTTGGGTTTTATTTGGAAAAGATTCAAAATTATAAGTTTCATTGATTTGTCGTAAGTATAAATAGGAGGAACGCGAACATGGACGTTTAGTAGTTCACAGAAGTTGGCCGAACGACGTCGCTTGTTCAAATTCTGTTTTTTCTTTGCATTTTTTTACTCAAAAAATTTTACAAATCGCCTAATCTAACATTAACTCTAACCCTAACCCTAACCCTAACCACTACGAGAAAATAGTGAAATCCTTTGGGGTCAACTGGCATTTCTGCAAGATCTGCCTGATGTGTTGCACTTAGTTTCCATACAATTACCTTTGGGCGTTCTGTTGACTTTTCCTTTAGGGGCTTTTTGTATAGGTTGTAGTGCTCTTTACCTTTTAAAATTCGTACTAGTACTCTGGATAGACTGTAGTACTTGTAGTAATTCTCTAATTGTGACATATTACGACAAATTAAAAGAAAGATTTCAGACTTCAAATCTTAAGATGACACGATTTTACTGTCTAAAGTGTAAAAAGGAAACTGAGACTGCTAGTGAAATACAAGATATGATCACAAATGGACGTTATCGTTTACATGGTGATTGTACAGTTTGTAGCATGCATAAGAATACTTTTACTGAAGTAGACTGGGTAATCAAAAAAAAGTCTAAGGAGAAGAATAAAGAAACTGCGACCAAAAGACATCAGACGGTTTATAATCGGCAATGCAAAAAACTTGAACAGAAAATCTTAGATTCTGATGACACGTGTAAACAGTGTATTGATAAATGTCTTAAAGAGGCAAAAAAGAGGAAGACGGATTAGTACTGCCTTCTAAAAGTATTCTTTATCATCTGAATCGTCGTGGTATACCCATTGTTCAATTACTTATTTTTTCTGATGGGGTAAGTGGCCATAGTTCGGTGGTCATAGTTCGGCGGTCATAGTTCGGTATTCCAGGTAAGTAGATAAAAAGTGGTCATAGTTTGGTGATCATAGTTCAGTGTACCACATCAGGAGGTTAAATCATGCGAGTAATAGTGTAGAATCATCAAATATGTATATACTCGAAAATTTACATCTTGAAAAAATCTGTAGATTTACGGATTTGTATAATGTACACTTAAAAATATAGTCTCGATAATTTTTATTTTAAAAATTCGCATAAATTTTACTTAAATGGGTAATTTTGATAACTCACTTTACTAAAAATATTCGTAAATATACTATTTT